GTTTCTGCTCCTACCGTTGAAGGGAGGGTTTCTGCTGCTGCCGTTGAAGGGAGGGTGTCTGCTGCTGCCGTTGAAGGGGAGGTGTCTCCTGCCGTTGTGCAAATTCCAACAGCATTATTAGTATTTGAAAACAGAATACTAAGATGGAAATCGAAAAACGAAATTCGAAGGTGGAAATACAAAATACTCACAGTTGTTGCAGGCTGCTTTAAGGGGTAGATCCGCGCAGCCAAGGGGTAGATCCGCGCAGCCAAGGGGTAGATCCGCGCAGCCAAGGGGTAGATCCGCGCAGCCAAGGGGTAGATCCGCGCAGCCAAGGGGTAGATCCGCGCAGCCAAGGGGTAGATCCGCGCAGCCAAGGGGTAGATCCGCGCAGCCAAGGATAGATCTGCACAAAAGCGAAAAACTAAGTTAGTGAAAGTTCCTTGCAGAAAGTTGCAGAAAGTTGCAGAAAGCTTAATAGAAAGTTGCTGAAAATGTAAAGACTTACGAATAGCCTTAAGCAGTGGTTGAAGCTTGAAGAGCCATCAGCAGTGGTTGAAGCGCCGCTGCAGCCTTGCTGGAAAGTGAAGAAGTCCCAATCCCAGTATTGATGCAAGCGGGGCAAGAGAACACAAGCAAAAGCACGAAGTTAGTAAACAGAAATGAAAGATTGAAAACAAGGAGAGAAAACGACGAGGAACGAACGTGGGATGGGTGGACGTCCATGATACTTGTGGGCTGCAGCTAGCAGAGGGAGGATCTATCTACCCAAACCCAAACCCAACCCGCGGAGGATCATCTCCTAACTGCAGCCACGCGTATCAGAGGGACGGCGGAAAACGACGAATTGAAGAACGGATGGAATTTACAAGTGGCGTGTTGAGCAACGAAAAACGAAAGACGAGGGGAAGAAAGAAGGGGAAAGACACTTCCCAGTTTGTTGCTGCTGGAGGCGTTGAGGCGTAGAAGGTTGAAGCTTGAAGCGTTGGAGGCAAAACGCGAGCAGAAGGACGTTGGCGCTCATATTCAGCTCGTTGACGTTGACGCGGGCCCGTTGATGTTGAAATCAGGTTTTGATGCTCAATAATGAACCTGAAAAGGTACAAAGGAAAAAAATGTCAGAACACGGTTTCCCAAGGAACAACGAAATGCGCACAAAGTAATTTGAGTGCAAGTGCTGAAAAACGATCACGTAAGTGCTAGTGCTGAAAATTAGAGTGCAAGTGCTATTCTTACCTTTGGAGATAGGCAGGTAGGCTGGGTGGAGGGCGGGGGTGTGGATGGTGGTGATACCCATCTCCAAGGTTGACCCAGTGGATCTCCAAGGTTGATTGAAGCCCAAGTGGATCTTGTGAGCAGCAACTCAAGAGGAATGCCATTGATGAGCCCTCAAGGCCTTTGATGTCATTGAGAGATGCGATTGACCTGCATAGGTTTAAACACATTTAGTTAAAATCGAATCAAATATAAAAAACTTAATGGTGTACAAGTGCAGAGAAAACTTGACGTAACAAGGCTTACCTCTGGAGTTTGAGAGGTAGGCCGGGCGGGGGGCGGGGGCGTGGATGGAAGCGAGATGATGGATGGCGTCGGGGGCGAATGGTGATGGCGAAAACTCCAGAGTACTCCAGTTGAGAGTAGTTGATACAGCTTGTACTTCTCTTCTTGCCAGACTTGAAAAAATGTCTTGATGCTGGCTCAAGAATGAACCTGAAAAGTCACAAAGAAAAAAAAGTCAGAAAACGGTTTTCCAGGAACAACGAAATACATTTATGGTAAATTAGAGTGCAAGTGCTGGAAAACGATCACGTAAGTTGGGCGCAAGTGCTAGTGCTGAAAATTATAGTGCAAGTGCTATCCTTACCTTTGGAGATAGGCAGGTAGGCTGGGCGGAGGGCGGGGCGTGGATGGCGCGGTGGGTTGAAGGTGGAAGTTGGCGGGTGGTGATGGTAGCTCATCTCCAAAGTCGATTGAAGCGGATCGCCAGGGTTGATCTCACAGCAGATCCTCGTGAAGTCCCAGTGAATCTTCGTGAGGTTGGATCTTGTAAATCTCTTCCTTGCCATTGGTCTTTGGAGTACTATGGTTTGAACACCAAGTCTTTGTGCCTGCCAGAAAACAAACAAATAGGTCAGATCATGAACCAACAAGGACAAGGAAACATAACGGTGCACAAGTGCAGAAAAAAAACTAAGTAACAAGGCTTACCTCTGGAGTTTGAGAGGTAGGCCGGGCGGGGGGCGGGGGCGTGGATGGAAGCGAGATGATGGATGGCGTCGGGGGCGAATGGTGATGGCGAAAACTCCAGAGTCCTTGGATTGAGAGTAGTTGATACAAAATCGCGACTGAAAAATGGTGAGCTAGAGTTTGAAAAGCTAATTTCTGTAATATATAGTTCTACCCAGTGAACACATGTGGTTTGCAAGTAACCTCGTTCTGTACGCCACGCCTCAGCATCGGGACAGAGTTGAAGCGAACCAACTTTCTGGTCGTGGCTCGTAACAAGCGAATTGGAACCCTAACCTTGGTTTGGAGCAGAATGAGCGGCTGACTTGGCGGGTTTTTCTTATTTGGGCCGCTATACTTCGCGGCTGTTTCCATCTCCCTGTCTGTGAGGACTCTCTCTGAGCCACCTTGCCCCAAGGGGAGGATGGAGCAGACGGATTTCAAACAGCACGACGCGTTTCAGCTGTGTGTCAGCAGCATAGAGCAGGCGGTGGATTGCAGCAGCTTTGGTGGTCACCACCATCTGTTGATGTCAAACACAATTTATAGGGTAAACAGATCGCACAAGATGTATGTCCATTTTTTAAAGGACGTAAATTTTGGACGCTAATCTTTCAAGAATTCAACACCATATTCTGTACCGCATTCCAGTCCATTCTCCGAGACTCTTACTTTTGATTGCGATGCTTAGCACGCTGCCACTTGGAAAATAATGAAGTGCGGAAAATCTCGCAGGGATTTTTGGTGGAAGGGTGGGGGGGGAAGAGGGGGGGGGGGGGGGGGAAGGGGGGGGGGGTTGTTGGGGGACGTAGTCGAGTTTTACCTATTATTTTCAACCAGGGCCCGCTACAGTATCTTCCGTTGCTTAGTGAACTGTTCAAAAGTCCACGTCCAATTTTTGCCACACTACAGCCCACCCTAAATCGACTGCCACTTGTGAGTGCCACTTGTGACTGCCACTTGTGACTGCCACTTGTCCTTCGAAGCATGCTGCCCTAGCATAAAATTTGGGTCTCCAACTTTCCAAAGGCTTGAGGCAGGGGTTGAGCCCTTCCACGGCGCGTTTCAGCCTTGTGTCAGTGTTTTTGCACTGTTTTAACGAGTCGCGTGTGTGACGACGTGAACCATGCGTCAGCGAGCAAGCGCTGCGAGGATGAACAATGTCCGCAGATTAGTAAACCATGTAACAAAGTGGCCGTCATCCAGAGCGCTGCTTCAAGAAGCTTGACACGGAAGGCGGCCTCATTGTCGAAAAGTTCACTCACAAATTCGGGCCAACAAACCACAACCGAAGCGCGTTGCCGCACGAATTTGGCTCAGGTTTGCGTACAGCGTACATTACATCCCTGTGGGCGAAAATGCGGGAATCTGAGGCTCGGACAGTGTAGCCGAGGCTGGTTTATTGACGTCACAACACAGCACAGCGTTGCCAAAGGAACCATCGCAATTGAGCGTGCGAAGCTGCCTTTGGACTGTGCTGACGACAACTGAGCGACCGAAAATTATCGCTCAGTTCCGCGCCAAAATCCAGTGGGGTCAGCCCACATCAGCATTGAAGGTGCACTCCGGCTGAGGACAAAGGAGCGACCATGAAATCGTTGCCCTTCAGTGTAAGGGCGCGTGACCATTTTGCATTTTGCAATTTTGACGGACAGTACGATTTAAACGAAGCGGACGGTCGTATTATCGAGAGCGAGACCGTCCGAGATGAATTTTTGCAACTTCGGACTGTCCGAAGACGAATGTGACACTTTTTTGGGATTGTAGATTTTTGCGAGAACTGTAGCCTCGTTAGAAGTTCTGTATCTTCGTAATTCAATTGACGACATTTCGCCGGAAAATTTCGTTCGCCAATCGTAAGGAAGTACTGTACATTGAATTTCGTCCGCCAATATATAGCCAGGACTGATGGACCGTCCGTTTGGGTTTCGGACAGTCCACGGTTCACATTGCGGACTGTTGAAAATGTGAAAAAAGTGTCACGACAGTCCGTTTTGTTGGCGACGTCGCCAACACCTCTGCGAAGATCCTTACGATATTAAGCGAAACAGGTTACATTTCGCCAGACCGGACGGCCCTTAGTTCGAACCGTCGGGTGCAAAATGGTTACGCGCCCTAAGCAAGGTGCCATGCTCTACAGTATCCGCCACATCAGCAGATTTGAAGAGTCGCCCATTCTCCACACGATTTTCCTTTCTGTACACATACACTGCACAGTTCGCGTCTGGTAGGTCGCCGTTCAAAGCGACGAAGCGAAGTGATACACTTATTATGGATATTTCTTTTCAATTAGTTAGTCGATGCAAAAAGATGAACTGAATGTGATTATATTGGACTGAAGGAGGAGGTAACCTACGCACATGTTCGCCTGCGGATTTCTCGCCAAGTCATTCAGATTTCCCGCTGGTCCCTTCTGCGACATCTGAAGTTCTGAACCGAAGGTTGGAGAGGTTTGAAGCGGTTAACTGACTTGACCGCTCAAAATTACACAATACCGTGCTTGACCGAACCGAAAGCATGCATTTGCAGCACAATTACGCGACACGATAGCAGGCAGCACCTAGCGTGTGCCTGGGTTCTTGTGTGTACGAACAAGGTCACCACAGCCAGTGACAGATGAATTCCCTTTTTATGATTCACAACCACGCAAAGACGCTTGCCGAATCACTCGCCGGTGGTTACGCTTCTCCCGCATCGGCACTTTCGCTTTTTGTTCTTCCGCTGAATTAACTGGTTTCTTTCGGTTATTGTGTGACTGTTATCGTAAAAGAACGTACCTATCGCATTTAGCTATGGCGGCGGCTGCGGTGCTGCCAGCACCCACGCAGTTCAAAGCGGCTCGAGCCGTGGTGGCAGTAATGGAGGCGTACCGCGACGCGCGCGTGCAGTTCGTCACGAAAGTCGGCGAACTCGCGGTTTCGCCTCAGGTGCGCTATAGTCTCTGTCTCTTTCTACATCTAATCTCAGCTTCTCTCGGATTCAAGCTTCGCGCTGCGAATTCATGGCGAATTTATGGGTTCCTGTCGCATTTCCCGCCTCCGAGAGCCGTTCGAATCATTTTTGCGACTCGCCAGCTCGCCGATACTCGAGCATGCTCCCGCGAACATGTTATTAGCTCCGTATTTCAACATACTGAGCGGCTCTGATGACTCTCGGCTCTATTGACGAGGTAGTTCAAACCGAATGCGTCCCTCCCGCGTTTCTTCCCCCGCAGAACGCGGAGGCGCTGCTGTCGCTCGGCGCGCTGCAGCTGCTGCTGCCGCTCGCGCAGGATAGCATGGCGTCCGTGCGATCCGCTGCGACGCTGTCGCTGGGTCGCCTGGCGAATGTGTCGCACACGTGGTCGCACCACCTCGTGCAGCGCAACGTGCTGCCGTCGCTCTGCAAGGCGCTCACGTCAGTCCTGCCTTTAAGTGCTTGAGTCATTTCTTACGACGCCTTATCTGCTTTTATATCCGCGACTCGCCAGCTTTTTATCATTTTTTAGCTCTGCAGTGCAGTGCGCTTTGTATGCAACGCACTCACATCAGTCCCACCGCTGTCTTCGTTCCCTCTCCTCACCCTCACATATTTTTCTCCCTCCACCCCCTCGTCGTCCCTCTCCTCACCCTCCAATCCCTCGTCTTCCCCTCTCGTCTCACTCTACCCCCCAGCGGCACCAATCGCCACCACAAGCGCGCAGCAGCATATCTAGTCAAGGCCGTGTCACGCCACGCTGGCGCTGAGCTGGCAGAGGCGGGCGTGCTACCGTTGCTGACGGAGTGCCTTCTGGATGCCATGCTGGCAGTGCGGGAGACTGCTGCGTGCGCATTGGGCCACGTGGCGAAGCACAGCGGTGACATGGCGATGAGAGTGGTAGAGACGGGTGCAGTGCGGTTGCTGGTGACATGCCTTCAGGTGCGACCTGGTCTGCAGTAACTCATTGCAAAAAGCCCATGCATGCGGTGAGCATGGCTTTTCTCAAACCTCTCCACACGCCCTGCGTTCTGCCCTTTGCCCTCCTATCTCATGTCCTCAAATATCTTGTCGCTGTATCCCATGTTCCCATACCTCTCATCTCCTTGGATTGAATGGCAGGACGAGGCTGTAGCGCGGATAGCCCTCTCAGTGTTGAGTGACGTGGCACGCCACTCGCTGCTGCATACTACAGCCGTGGCTGATGCGGGCGGCATTACCGCCGCCGTCGCTCTGCTGGGATCACCTGACGTCAAGACAAGGCGCCAGGTGCTTTCCTTTTTCCTGGCACTTGTTGTTTCAATGCACTCAACTCTCATCTCATGCCAACCATGTCTTTGCTCATTCGTTCCCACCCTCTCTGCACTGCAGCACCATGCTTGCTGCTTCCCTCCTCTTCACCCTGCAGATGCCCTCCCTTCGTCCTGCCTTTGTCATTTATTCCTCTTTGTCTTTGCGAAATTGCACAAGTTTTGCATCTCTACAAGAACTATTTTGCACCCTTCTGCACCCCATCTCCACGTCCCCCTGTGCCTTTCTCAACCTCTCTGCACTCTGCCTGCCTTTCTCCCACCCCTGTCTCCCCACCCATCTGCACCCCTCTGTACCCCTTACAGGTCTGTGTTTGCCTCTCTACCATCGCCAGACACTCTGAGTCCCTCGCTCTGGTAAGCACTGCTCCTAACTTCCCAAACCGTTCTGAAACTTCCCGAACATTCCTGAACCGTTCTAAACCGTTACCCTTGGTACGGCATAGCCTCAAGTTTTTTTCTCTCTACAGTTCGCTTAAGTCGAACAACAAAGTTATCTAGTTCATGTAAACTGTCTTCCTGCACAACTCGTCCCCCTCCCTGTGCGCATATGCAGCAGCAGCACTGAGGGAGATCGCGAGGCAGGTCCTTACATACTCATTCCAATCCATCTCTACCCACCCGTCTCCCCTAATCCCCCCTTCTCCCTCCCTCCTCTGCCCATCCCCCTCTCCCATTCCCCCTGTCCCCTCTCCCTTCTCTCTCTATTACCCCTCAGCAAGTGTTGGACCAACCCGGAGCATCTCGTCTGCTGCTCTGCCTGCACGACTCGTCCCCTTCCCTGCGGGCATCAGCAGCAGCGGCAGTGAGGGAGGTGGCGAGGCAGGGACCGGCAGCAGCAGGCAGGCTGGTGGGCATGGGGGGCATTGGTCCGCTGCTTGATGCTGTGGGCACGTGGAGGGATGCAGGGGAGGGGGAGGGGATGACCAAAGGCTCCGCCAAGGTTTCAGGTCAGTGGCTTGTGTTCCCTTTGTGATCTTGTTGTGGTGGGCATGGGGGGCATTGGGCCGCTGCTGGATGCTGTGGGCACGTGGAGGGACGAGGGCGAGGGGGAGGGCATCACAAAAGGCTCTGCCAAGGTTTCAGGTCAGTGACTTGCGTTTCTTCCATTCTCTTCTTTCTGCTCCTTTTGAAGTCGCTTTGCAATCTCCTTTCCCTCCCTTTGCGTTTTTCTTGTCCCCACTTCTTGGTGCTGTGCCGTTCCTGGACAGCCATCTTCACGTCATTCCGCAGCCCTCTGTGGGTTTCTTGTGCGTTTTCTTCTATGAGTCCTCTATCGCTTTTCGGCCCTCTGTGCACTTCCGCAGCCAGTCTCTCGATTTCTAAGTCATTGCTCCAACGCTCCTTCACACAAGCACAAGCACACTCTATACCTCCTCCTGCTCCAAACACCAACTATCGCTGTCTTACCATCCATCCCCTCTCCCCTATTATTTCTCTTCCCCCCCCCCTGCCCATCCATTCTGTCCCCCATATGACCATCTCCCAGTGGTGGTGGCCCTCGGCTTCCTCGCAGCTTCCTCCCCTGATGCAGCGCTGGCAGTGGTGGCATCGGACGGCATATCCCCGCTGCAGGATCTGATAGTGGAGGGCCATGCTCACGTCACTCTCAAAGGGGCGTGTGCGTGGGCGCTGTCGCAAATGGCCTCCCATGGGTGAGGATGGGTGGGGATGGGTGAGAATGGGTGAAGTTGGGTGAGGATAGGTGAGGATGGGTTGCAATGAGTGGGGATGGGTGAGGGTGTGCGAGAATGGGTGATAATGGGTAAGGGGTGTGTTACCATGGCATGCAGCGCGGGCATATCCCCGCTGCAGGATCTCATAGTGGAGGGCCATGCTGACGTCACTCTCAAAGGGGCGTGTGCTTGGGCCCTCTCACAAATGGCTTCTCATGGGTGAGCGTGAGAGAGGGTGGGTGAGGATGCGTGAGGATGGGTGAGGATGGAGTGGGGGTTGGTGCTGATGGGTGAGAATGGGTGGTTTCATCGGACGGCATATCCCCGCTGCAAGATCTCATAGTGGAGGGCCATGCTGACGCCACTCGCAAAGGGGGCCTGTGCGTGGGCGCTCTCGCAAGTGGCCTCTCATGGGTGAGGATGGGTGGGAACGGATGGGGGTGATGGGTCGGGATTGGTCGGGCTTCTGTTGATGCAATCCTTTTCCTTCTCTTCCCCCACCTACCCTTCTGCTCTGTTTCGTTGGCACATGTCAGTCCCAGCCATGCCAAGGCCATGGCAGGACAGTGGGGTGCTAATTTACATAGTAACAGCAGCCACAGGTTCATATTTTTTTCGCTTCTCTTGCACGGCCTTGCTTCTGCTCTGTTCCTTCACTTTGGCTCGTGCCAGTCCCAGCCACGCCAAGGCGGTGGCAGACAGTGGAGTGTTGATCGACATGGTAACAGCACCCACAGTTACTGACATTATTATTTTCCTTCTCTTTCTCTACCTACCTTTGTGTGTTGTCTCCTTGACACATACCAGCCCCAGCCACGCCAAGGCAGTTTCAGACAGTGGCGTGTTGATCGACATGGTAACAGCAGCCACCGTTCACCTCCCTGCTCCCAACCCTGCTGCCGAGCCTGCCGTTGCTACCACGGCGGATGGTGCGGCTGTTACACCCACTGCTTCTGATGCACGAGGCTCGGCAACGGAGGCTCGGGAGCGGTTGGTGCGGGCAGTGAAGGACGTGGTGGTTCGGTTGAATGACATCGAAGCTCTTGATGCGCTGCTGCAGGTATACTGCTGCCCTTCTGGTTCATGCCTTCATCCACCAATGTTGCCCTCACTCACACACCCCCTTATTGTTTTTTCTCCTCATGCCTTCATCCACCAATGTTGCCCTCACTCACACACCCCCTTATTGTTTTTTCTCCTCATGCCTTCATCCACCAATGTTGCCCTCACTCACACACCCCCTTATTGTTTTTTCTCCTCATGCCTTCATCCTCCAATGTTGCCCTCACTCACACGTCACCTCACACTTCCTGCTGCTTCCAAGCCTCCCCCTTCTCTGGCCTGTGTCCTTCTCCCTTCCCCCCTACTCCTCCCCCTCCCCTCTTCCCCCCCCCCACCCTCCTCCGTTTCCCCCATACAGTGGACAAAGCTGCCGGACGGCATACTGGAGTCTGTCCTGCATCGCATGTCTTTAGTGCTCGCTAAAGACAATGCCTGCCGGCCAGCCTTCCTTGCGTCGAACGGCTTCACCCGTCTGCAGCGCCTGCTACAGCTGGCAGAGGCAAAGAGAGCCGCTGCTGCTGCCGACGCCGCCGCAAACGCTGCCGCCTCTGCCGCTGCTGACGGTGCAAATGCTGAGAGCCCAGGAGACCGGGCGGCGAAAGTGACCCGATTCGATCCTGCCTCGGTGCGTTGCATAGAGGGCGGCGTGGATTGGGACCTAGTGGAGGATCACGTGTCATCTATCAACTCGCTCTTCCCATTCGAGGTGTCCCAATTCTACTCAGCAGACTACCAGCAGCACCTCTTACAGAAGCTCTCAGACAGTGTCAAGCCGGAGTGGGCTGCCATTGCCACGGCAGCTGCTAGCCCCCGAGCCATGTCGATCAAGGCTCGGGAGGGCAGGTTCGTGAGGGGCGGGAGAAGGCCGGTTGATGTGGAGGAGGTGGGGAGAGGGGGGTGGGAGGCTCCTGATTTGGGACCGGTGATGGAGGAGGAGGGTGAGGGGGAGGAGGATGGTGGGGAGGAGGATGAGGGGGAGATGGGGGAAGGAGGAACGGGTGGGGATGGTGAGAGTGATGGGGAGGGTGAGTGGGGGGGTGATGGGGATGGAGGGGTGCAGCTGATGCAGGTGCGAGTGGGGAGGAGCGGAGTGGAGCGAATAGAAGGAGGGAGAGAGGAAGTTGGAGGTGGAAGAAGAGAAATGGGAGGAGGAGGGGAGGGGAAAGAAGGGACGACTGGAGGGGAGGGAAGAGAGATGGAGGGGGGTGGTTCTAGTGTGCAGAAGCAGCAGAGTTTGTTGACCAGTGATGAGAGATGTGGGGCTGGTGAGGAGGAGAGAGTCGATGCAGCAGTGAAAGTACTAGGGGGCAACACCCCCCCTGAGGTAGGGGATGGTGGCGGTCTGGTGGTGGAGAATGTGCGAGTGGAGGATGATGGTAGTGGGGAGATGAAGGATCGAAGTGGGGGGGTGAAGGATGAAATTGGGAAAGTGAAGGCTGGAAATGGGCGGATGACAGATGCTAATGGGGAAAGGAATGATGGCAACGGGGGAAGGAAGGATACAAATCGGGATATGGAGGTTGGAAATGGGGGAATGAAGGATGGTTGTGAGGAAACGAAGGATGGAAATGGGGAAACTAAGGTCGGTAATGAGGGGACAAAGGATGGGAATGAAGTGATGAAGGATAGTATTGGGGGGGGTGAAAGATGAGAATGAGGGTACGGAGGATGGGAATGAGGGGATTAAGGATGGAAATAAGGCAGAGGTTAGAGATTATGAAGCAGGGAAAAGGAGCTGAGGCACATGTTGTTTCAGCATTAAATACTTTTATTTAAATGCATGTTCAAATGAGCAGCTTTCCTGGGTTTCAATAACTTGTACCTGGTGTTTTTTTAATCGTATTCTCCGTTTGCCGGGACAATCTGTTTACTGTTTGCCATCAGTCAAGCCGAGCAAATACGGTACAGTACTAAATTCCGTTTCCCTGTCTTTATGAGGCGGTTATCGTCGGCCCTTCGCACCTGTAATCCTGACTGGATCTTCTCCGCCTAGGTGGGCGCATATTTATTGCGCCTGGGCGGACTGGCGTGGGGACACCAGTGGAAGGATAGGCATGGTGCCACTAGGCCATCACAGCCCCGCTCCCACGAACTCTCGATTTCCCCTCGATCGAACGGTCATCGTTGTCGCAAACAAGCTGCTGTATTTCGCGAATGCACCTTGCCGTTCTGCGATTTCGCGAAACTCGTTGAAGCACAGTATATTCTTTCGCCAAGTGATATTGTGCGCCACTTTCGCCATTCCTATCTTCTTCTATCCCTGTCTCTCCATCTGCGCTACCCACCCCACCACTTACCTGCCTGATAAAATATAGGGTCTGAAACCGTACGCCCCTTATCTAGGGTCTGAGCTGGCAGGCATTCATAAGTAGCGCCTGTTTCTGACGCTATTTTTTTTAGATTGTTCTTTCTTGTAGTCGCGTGCTCTATACCCGCGACTTTCGCTACAATGCGCGGGTTTACGGGGTTGGCGCTACGATATTTCCGAGTTTGATGCGTTCGCTGGCCTTAGGGTTAGCGACCTTTTCTAGTATCCCGAAACTCGATTCTCAGTATCCACGTTGAAGCGTCAAAAAGGGATATTTTCGCGTCTATTAGGGTTAGCGATGTCGACCGGCGAAGCGGAGGTTGCCGGAGAGGCGGCCGCATCACCAGCGCCTCCTCCGCTTGAATGGAAATTCGGTCAGGTTTTCGGCGAACGGGCAGCTGGAGAGGAAGTTCAAGATGGTGAGTTGGAGGGACTATTATACCTTACACTTGACGTAAAGTACGGTACATATTAAGTGGCGCGGAGAAGCTTGATGAAAGACGTCCTTAGAACATATTTTGGCGGTATTATGTGTGTTTAGATATTGGAATCGAAGTCCCTGCAGTTGCGTTGTAAAGCCAGAATGCATGGAATATTAAAGATCAATCGCATTGCTCGGCTAGTTTCAAGCTTGGAGTGTTATGGCGTAGATGGCACGTTATGTCCATTCGACCGTAGGCGACTCTTATTGAATTGATTTAGGCATTAGTGGCGGAATGCGCAGTGCTGACAACGGTAGCAATCGCAGAAGCAGCTGTTTTTTCGAGGCGAGTGAAAAAATCGTCCGATGTAGATATTAGGTGGCGGAATGTGCGGCTTTCACATCGACAGTCTTCGCAGCAACAGTTAGACTGAATGTCGAAAGCTTACAGATTAACAGTGCAGACCAGTTTTTACGATGAAACTATTCAGTCTGTAGAGTATTCTGATCAACGTTAGTCAAACAGCCTAGATAAATCGTTGACGGACATGAAGCCGCAGTTTCGATGACATACCCCTTCAACTCTAGTCGGCAGCTTCCTGATCTTATATAGGTTGCTGACATTGCAATGATCGCCAGCTCTTCCTGAGACTACGCGTGTACTAAGCTAATCTGCCTGCTGTTCTGTGCGGTTCCGTACGGTTCTATGGTGCGGTGCAGTGGACATAATATCGGCGATTGAGTTCGATCGTAGCGGCGAGCACCTGGCGACGGGCGACAGAGGCGGGCGAGTGGTGCTGTTTGACCGCATTGACCTGCGCGACGTGAGTGGTGCTGTTTGACCGCATTGACCTGCGCGACGTGAGTGGTGCTGTTTGACCGCATTGACCTGCGCGACGTGAGTCCCTATTTTCGAAGCTCGCATTATGTCTGCAATGGCATGACGTCGGTACTATTTGCATGATGTGTCGTCTGTATGCTGTTTCTCTGCACGACGTCAAGCATTAATCGGCGTGGCTTGAGTCTGCATTGATCTGCATGGATTTATTCAGCATGATCCTAAATAATCAGCAATTTCAGCGTCTACCTTACTATTTACTTTAAACCAGAACACACCCGCTGCTTTTCAGCCCTTTGGCGTCCTCACCCATTAGGATTTCCGCTTGTCATGAAATAACAAAATAAAAAGGGGGATTAATGCACGCGGAGACGCAATGAGACGCAATGAAGACTCCTTAGTAGTCGTCGTATGCTCTCTTCCCTTGCTCACCTCTACTCACTCCTACTCACTCCCTTTCACGGTTGCTCACGCCTTCCCACCGTATCCCATCCCGTCCCATGCGCGCGTTCCCATGCGTGCCACCAGGCTCGGGGTCGGCGGGAGATGGAAGCGAGCGACTACCCCCCCGCCGCGCACCAGCAGATCGACTACCGCTACTCCACCGAGTTCCAGAGCCACGAGCCTGAGGTACGTACTGTGTGGATGAGAGGACAGGGGAATGTGCACAGATAGGGAGGCTGAGAGTGCGGGGCGTGCTCTGCTGGTAGCTTGTCTTGTAGCATGGGTAGCCTAACCAGCACGTTCCCGAGGTACGGCTAGGCGCCATTTGCGGGAGTGGGATAGTAAGCGGGGTGCGGGTAAAGGGGGCTGACAGTGTAAGCCGCGTGTTGGCGGCTGTTACGAGAAGTACGGGTAGCGTGCTTTGTGCAGCAGAGGGACAGGGGCAGCAGGTGTTCATATGAACACTGGGGGTGTGGGCCGTGCTTGTGGCGGGCTGGCAGGCAGCGCGCCAGCAGATCGAGTATCGTTGTTGCTGCTGCTTCAAGGAGGTGCAGAGCCACGGCCTGAGGAACGGCTGCTGTGCGTAGGAGTGGGGATGGAAAAAGTATCAGGAGGTGAATTGACAAGTTCGGAGAAGCAGACGATTCCGCACGGAACGATGGATGATCGCACGTATCAGGCGACTCTCACCAGCACAGTCAAACTTGAGTTTCAGAGTCTTGAATTGTATGTGTCGACATTGTCATGCTGTGCGCACTGGTGGGTGGTAAGGGGAAGCGCTGGTTGGTAGGGTAAAGTCCACCTCGCTGCAAGCTACTGGAGAGAGAAAGGAGAAAATAAATACATTACTACTCCTTTAGAGACATTTAGTTAGCCCGATTCGTCTTCCTCTCACCGCGTCCTCCAGTTCGTCGACCCCAGGTGGAGAAAATCAACAAGATCCGGTGGGTAAACCCCTTTCAGCTTTTCTCTCTCCCTCCCCCTCCATCTTTCGCTCTCCCCCCCCTTTCCCCGCCAGTTTGACTACCTCAAGTCGCTGGAGATAGAGGAGAATGTCAACAAGATCCGTTGGGTCAACCCCTTTGATCTTTCCTCTATCCCTCCCATACCCCCTCCCTGTCTTTCCCCCCACTCCCCCGCCGCCCCCACCTTTCTCTCCACCCCCCTCCTCTCCCCGCCAGTTCGACTACCTCAAGTCGCTGGAGATAGAGGAGAAGATCAACAAGATCCGGTGGGTGAACTCCTCGCAGGGCGCCCTCTACGTGCTCTCCACCAACGACAAAACCATCAAGCTCTGGCGCGTCACCGAGCGCCGCGTCAAGGCCGTCTCGCAGTTCAACTGCCCGCCCCGCACAGCCGCAGACTACCTCGCCTCTGCCAACGCCCCAGCCGACCCAGCAGCAGCAGCGGATGCGGTCCCGACGCCGCCGGTTTCGGTGCCTGGCGGGGCGCAGATCAACCCGCGGTACCTCCCGCGCCCCGGGTCGCTGTCTGCTGCGTCGGCGACGGCGAGAGCGGTGGCGGCTGGTGCTGGAGCGGTGCTGAACGGTGTGGGCGAGGGCATGGACCTGGACTTTCCTCCTGGAGGGTTTCCCCAACTGCGCCTCCCTGCTGTGGTCAGTGCTGTGCTGTTTGCCCTGCTGTGGTCAGTGCTGCATACCCTGCTCTGTGCGTCCCGTGAGTGTGTTGTCAATGCAACCAGCACTGTTTGAAGTCATTTCGGCTTCATTGCTCCACTCCTATCTTCTTCCCACATTCTTTTTGCCCTCCCACCTTGCTCTTGCCCCCACCGTGCTCTCCTTCCCATTCAATCCTCCCCTCCACCTTGCTCTCCCCCTCCTCCCCACCTTGCCCTCCCGCCCATCTCGAACCCCCCCCCACCCTGTCCCCCACCAGGTGTCAACCAACGAGACCACGCTGGTGGCGCGGTGCCGCCGTGTCTTCTCCAACGCGCACGCCTACCACATAAACTCCATCTCCTGCAACAGGTCAGTAGTTTGCTGCTGCTGCAACAGGTGTGTGCGTTGCTCCGTGCTGCTTACACGCAGTAGCCTGTGCTATCTCAACCCACGCCTACCACATAAACTCCAGCTCCCGCAACTGGAGCGCACGCTGCTGCTCCAACAGGTTAGATTGCTGCTGCTGTAACAGGTCACCCAGCTACTCTGTGCTGCTCACTGGTGGTAAGTAACCTGTATCACCGCAGGTCCATGTGACCGCATGAGCTCGTAACCGCTTCACCCACCCACCCACCCACCCATACCCCTCCTCTCGCTTATCCCCTCCCCTCTCGCCGCCACCACAGCGTTTAGGGGACGGTCATCTCAGCTGACGACTGGGGGTTAACCTGTGAAGCGACTTTTGAGTCGACTCAAAAGTCATCTCGCCGCCACCGCAGCGTTTAGGGGACGGTCATCTTAGCTGACGACTGGGGGTTACCCTGTGAAGCCCGGAGGCCTGTTGACAATGTGTCGTGTGCCATGGTAACGAGGTGACTTTTGAGTCGACTCAGAAGTCACCTCGCCACCGCAGCGTTTAGGGGACGGTCATCTCATCTCAGCTGACGACTGGGGGTTAACCTCTGAAGCCTGGACGCCTGTTGACAAGCCTCTATCCCTTTTGAAACATTGTCCTTCCGACTCCTTTCTCCCTCAACCCTCCCCACCCCTCTCCCCCTCCTCCTCCCCACCACCTCCTCCCCCACCTCCCCTCCCTCCCTCTCCCCGTTCTCCCCTCCCTCTCCCCGTTCTCCCCTCCTCTCCCCGTTCTCCCCTCCCCCCGTTCTCCCCTCCTCTCCCCGTTTTCCCCTCCCTCTCCCCGTCCTCTCCTCCCTCTCCCTGTTCTCTCCTCCCTTTCCATTTGCCCCCTGAAGCGACCGTGAGACGTTCATATCAGCGGACGACCTGAGGGTGAATCTGTGTAACCTGGACGCCTGCTGACGAGCCTCCATCCCCTTCCCCTCCCCTCTCGTCCCCTCCCGTCCCCTCTTCCCCTGCACCCTGCAGCGACCGTGAGACGTTCATATCAGCGGACGACCTGAGGGTGAACCTGTGGAACCTCGAGAACAACTCGCAGAGCTTCAATGTGGTGGATATCAAGCCCGCCAACATGGAGGACCTCACAGGTGCGGGGTGTGGTGTGGTGCCAGTAGGTTTAATAAGGTGGTATTGCATGTACGTATGAGTGTGCGTGCACAGCTCTATGGCTCGCAGAGCTTCAACGTGGTGGACATCAAGCCCGCTGACATGGAGGACCTCACAGGTGGGTGATGGTGCAGCCTATTAGTGTGGTAGCAGACAGATTCGTACGGATGTGTGCACAGCTCAGTGTTGCACAGAGCTTCAACGTGGTGGATATCAAACCCGCCATCATGGAGGACCTCACAGGTGGGGGGTGTGGTACGTGTAGATCTCTTCAAGTATAACTGCCAGTAGAAGTGAATGAGTGTGCGTGCATGGCTTTGCAACACGCAGGGCTTCAACGTGGTGGATATCAAACCCGCAAACATGGAGGACCTCACAGGTGGGTGATGGCTGGCGTGGTGGAGGTACAAGTGTATGAGAGTGCATGCATGGCTTATGCGACTCGCATGGCTTCAACGTGGTGGACATCAAGCCCGCGAACATGGAGGACCTCACAGGTGGAGAGGGGACGTTTTGAGGGTGCTACAGGTGGGTGATGTGGTACAAGTGGGATGTGATCCCATTAGTCTGTATGCGCCTTCACACGAATATGGTTTTCTATCCTCCCTTTACCCCTGCTATATTGCCCAACCCCTATCTACTCCCCTCTCCTCCTCCCCTCTCACCGCCCCTCTCCACCCCCCACCCCTCTCTCACCTGCTCCGCTCCCCCTCATGCTCACACCAGAGGTGATAACGTGTGCGGAGTTCCACCCATCGCACTGCCACTCGCTCACCTACTTCTGAGGCGCCTCAAAACGATACCCCCCTCTTTCCCCTGCCTCCCCCCACCTCTCCTCCCCCTCCCCCCCCTCCCTCTGCCCCCCCTTACCAGAGGTGATAACGTGTGCGGAGTTCCACCCGTCGCACTGCCACTCGCTCGCCTACTCCTGAGGCGCCTCAAAACAAGAACCCCTTCTCCCCCCTGCCCCCCCCCCCCCCCCCACCTCCCCTTCCCCCCCACCAGAGGTGATAACGTGTGCGGAGTTCCACCCATCGCACTGCCACTCACTCGCCTACTCCACGTCCAAGGGCACCATCCGCCTCATTGACATGCGCCAGTCCGCCCTCTGCGACCAACACTCCAAGCTGTGAGCCCTGTTGTTGCATGCCCTGCTGGTAGGGTGTGGTTGATGCCATGCTGCTAGTGGCCTTAGTGCCACCATCCGCCTCATTGACATGCGCCAGTCCGCCCTCTGCGACCAACACTCCAAGCTGTGAGCCCTGTTGTTGCATGCCCTGCTGGTAGGGTGTGGTTGATGCCATGCTGCTAGTGGCCTTAGTGCCACCATCCGCCTCATTGACATGCGCCAGTCCGCCCTCTGCGACCAACACTCCAAGCTGTGAGCCCTGTTGTTGCATGCCCTGCTGGTAGGGTGTGGTTGATGCCATGCTGCTAGTGGCCTTAGTGCCACCATCCGCCTCATTGACATGCGCCAGTCCGCCCTCTGCGACCAACACTCCAAGCTGTGAGGCTCTTGTTGTTGCATGCTCATGTGGATTGTAATGCGTGTGCTGTCGGTAAGCTGTGCGCACTGCCATGCCACGAGTGCCATCATCCGCCTCATTGACACACGCCAGTCCGCGCCCTGCAACCAACACTCCAACATGTCTGCTACTCTGGGTCTGGGACTCTTCCTTACCTTTTCCCTCCCTTCCCCCGTTTCTTCCTCTTTGTCTTCCTCCCTTGCTTCCTCCCTTGCTTCCTCCCTTGCTTCCTCCCTTTCTTCCCTGTCTTCCTCCCTTTCTTCCTCCCTTTCTTCCTCCCTTTCTTCCTCCCTTTCTTCCTCCCTCTTCCTCCCTTTCTTCTTCCCTTTCTTCCTCCCTTTCTTCCTCCCTTTCTTCCTCCCTTTCTTCCTACCTTTCTTCCTCCCTTGCTTCCTCCCTTGCTTCCTCCCTTGCTTCCTCCCTTTCTTCCTCCCTTTCTTCCTCCCTTTCTTCCTCCCATTCTTCCTCCCTTTCTTCCTCCCTTTCTTCCTCCCTTTCTTCCTCCCTTGCTTCCTCCCTTGCTTCCTCCCTTTCTTCCTCCCTTTCTTCCTCCCTTGCTTCCTCCCTTGCTTCCTCCCTTTCTTCCTTCCTTTCTTCCTCCCTTTCTTCCTCCCATTCTTCCTCCCTTTCTTCCTCCCTTTCTTCCTCCCTTTCTTCCTCCCTTGCTTCCTCCCTTGCTTCCTCCCTTTCTTCCTCCCTTTCTTCCCCCCTTGCTTCCTCCCTTTCTTCCTCCCTTTCTTCCTCCCTTCTTCCTCCCTTTCTTCCTCCTTTCTCCCTCCCTTTCCCTCCCCCTCACAGCTTTGAGGAGCAGGAGCCTCCCGGCAACCGCTCTTTCTTCTCGGAGATCATTGCATCCATCAGCGATGTCAAGTTCTCCAATGACGGCCGCTACATCTTTAGTCGTGACTACATGACCGTCAAGGTATGCTTGACTGTCCAGGCACGTGTGCGTTGTCAAGCCACGCTTATCAACGTGTGGGTGAAAGGTGGCTGTGAAGTTGGTGCATCCATCCATCAGCCATGTCAAGTTCTCCAGCGACGGCCGCTACATCTTCAGCCGCGACTACATGACCGTCAAGGTATGCCACGCATGGATGCACTATGGTTGGCTGGTGTGGCACTACAAGGCATCACAAAAAAAAAAAAGAACGAAGCATGGCTTGAAGTTGACTTCTGGGTTGACTCAAAAGGGTGAAGATGGCATGTCACAAAATAGTACATCTTATTATTTTCGTTCCAGATTTAGACTGTTGCTCCCTTTTTGTCTGAACGGGTTCTGAAGAGAAGTGAGCATGACCCCTCCCCTCCTTCCTGTGCTCTGAGCTGCCTCAGTTCGTTCCTCTTTCCACTCCCTCCCACCCTCACTCATCCCCACCCATCCAATGCTTCCCCTCTCTCGCGCCTCCACCTCCGTTCATCTTCCACTTCCCCCTGCCTTCCTAAACCTCTCCTCAATCCCCCCCCGACAGCTGTGGGACATCCACATGGAAGCGCAACCGCTGGGAACGTTCAAAGTGCATGAGTTCCTGCGACCCAAGGTGACCACCCCACTGCACCACACCACATTCTCTCTCTTCTTCAGCCCTCACACTCTCTCCTGCTCTCCTTTTTGAGCCACCTCATCAAGCGCAACTGCTGGGGACGTTCAAAGTGCATGAGTTCCTGCGACCCAAGGTGACCACCGCACCACATGCCATCATTGTGCTGTCCACCCTTCCTTCTCCATTTACCTTCCCGTCTCGTCCACTTCACAGACCCTACCCCTCCTTTACCCCCCCCCACGTCCTCCCTTCCCCGCATACCTTCATCATGGTTTCTGTAGGGTTACCCTATTGCCGCTGTGCAACTTGTACGAGAACAACTGCGAATTCGACAAGTTCAAATGCATATTCTGGCTTCCCCCCCTCACCAATTCCCACACCCCCCGCACGCCCCACTTTTTCCCCACCCACACCACTCCCTTACCCCCTCTGTCACACCACCAGCTGTGCGACCTGTACGAGAACGACTGCATATTCGACAAGTTTGAGTGCACGCCCAGTGGGGACGGGCTGCGATGCGCCTCTGGCTCCTACAGGTGAGTCTCTGGCTCCTACAGGTGAGTCTCAGGCACCTACAGGTGAGTCTGCTGGAATGTATTTGTTGATCTATCTGCCTGACGCATCAAACATCTTGTGAAGCTAACATGTGATGCGACAAGCGCCCAGTGAAGCTTCTGTACTTGACACTCTCATGTCAAACACTTGGCGTTTTACCCGCTCTGGCGCCCTTACAGTGTGCTCCTCTCTTGCTCTCTCCCCCACCACCGTTCTTCTCTGCAGCAATCTGTTCCGGGTGTTTGGAGTGGTGCCAGGGAGTGACGAGGCCTCACTGCTTGAGTCCTCCAAAACACCAAACAGGTGTGCTCCCTCCCTTCGTCCCTCCCTCCCCTTCTATCCACCATTTGTGACCCTTCACTTTCTCCTTCCTTTATACTGCACGGAACCTTCCCCTACTCGCGTTCCCCCTCCCCATGCTATCCGACCTCTCTACTCTTACCAATATTTTCCAGTTGGATGCAAGCTTTACATCTCAGCCGTCTGCTTTCAGCCATCTTTGCTGTTAATCACCTCCCTCCCCTCACCCGTTCTCATGTATGGCATGGCTGATCAATGGGTGGTCACATCCTGCTTGCATGGGTGACCACCTCGTGCTTGCATGGGCTCCTGGGCAATATGTGTTTCACACTGGTTGGCATTGTTTGGCATGGTATGGCTTTTCTTATTTTGTGGCATGGCATGTTGTGGTGTTGGATGATTTCAAAATGGTGGAATGTCATGCTTTGTGTGGGTTGTGTGTGTGTGTGTGTGTGTGTGTGTGTGTGTGTGTGTTTTTTTTTTTTTTTTTTTTATGGGCCATGGGATGTTGATGGATTGAAACTGCATGGCATGGCATGGTATGGTTTGCCATGAGCAGGCGCATGGTGCAGACACCAGCCAAGGGAGGGGGCAGGGCAGGGGCACGAGGCCGGAGGGATGCAAGAAGAGGTGCGTGGAGGATGAAACACGCAGGCGGATGAACCACTCAAGCACCAACCTTATCCTATCCGTCCGGATTAATCAACTCATGCACATGCTTCTTGCCATTCCCCAATGCCTCATGCCCTTCACTTGTCTCATTCCACCACCAAATTCCACACACCCCCTTCATCACCATTGCTCACCTTGTCTGCTCAAACCCTTCTGTTGGCCGGCCACGGTCACTTCAAATTCCTATTTTTTCCCGCTTGGTTTTGGCAGAAGCGGTGGATTCTATGGATCCCAACGGCATGCAGCATGACTTTTCTTCAAAGCTGTTGCACCTTGCGTGGCATCCCAAGGCCAACCTCATTGCCTGTGCCGCCTCCAACTCCCTCTACATGTATTATGCCTGACCAACATGGCTCTCCGATCTCCCTGTGCATCAGGATTTGTATTTTCTTACTGGTTTCTTCTGAAATTGAACATAGCTAGATTGGAAATTTACACAATGAAAAGCTGATAATGCGCCTAACCTTTGAACATTTTTGCCATGTGAAGTGTATGTTTCCAGATTAACTGGCTTGCATGATTTTCAAATTGCTACACGCGGAAGGTCTGAACTATATATGACTGGATCTAAAATTGCCGCATTTGGCGGTGAGCTTCCGTACCTCCATGCACGTCCAGCCCCTCCCTGCTTTTCCCTGCAATTCGGGAAACCGACACCATCTCATCGCGCAGCCATCCGAAATCCGCGATCCGGCGAATTTCACTCGACATGTATTCGTGTGCTGCTGGTCTCGATGGAATTTCGCCCCTATCATCCATAGCCGCCTCTCCTCCGCCCAGTCATGCTTCAAAAAGCAAAGCTGCTGTCCGCTGCCGAGGCATTACCCAAAAGACAGACAAGGTGCATGACAGCTAGTGTGCTCTCCAGTTGCTTCTTCGCCTCCGACTGGACCGTCGGCTCGGCGCCCATACTGTACCTGCCACCTCTATGCATGATGCAGGCAACCGAATAAATAGAGCGTTTCGATCTACCAAATCTTCCTCACATACGGATGGCCCGCTGAGATTTCTCACGACATTTTCCTGCTAGTCCTACACTTCGCACTTACAGCGTTTTCGCACTTTCAAAGCACTCAGCCCAGCAGTCCAGCTCGATCTGGCGGTCAGGAACGACTTTCATTCCCGCTAGTGATTAGGATCTCTTTTCCCCCTATTACGCAACGAAGAATGCTCAAAAGATATCTTCTAGTCAGTAGTGCCTGCGTCGATGTTGCTTTGTCGTAGAGTGCCGCGCTTCGCCTCAGCAGCCACAACGGGAGTTCCACCTATTGCCAGAGTGCCGCATAGTAAGGTCTCGGAGAGAACCGCTAATGCCAGGGAGCTCCTGACGCTGATCCGGCGAGTGCGGCTATAAAGATTCAGGTTTCCTAGGTGCACCTTGTCACATGCGCTCGCTCGTCCGTCAAACCGTGCGCGCAGATGCCTGCGCCATGCGCAGTTGTTGTCGGCCCTCTCGGCGCGCATCGCCGTGTGACGCGCGGGCTCCGCAGCCAATCGGCGCTCTTACCAGCGATGCTGTTGCTGTCCTTCGTCGCCCTCTCCGCCGGATTCACTGATTTCGTTCGCCGACCCGGCCCCGCCCCGCCCCCCTTTTCGCCTCCTCCTCGTCCCCCTTCTCCTCCTTGTCTTCCTCCCTTGCTTCCTCCCTTGCTTCCTCCCTTGCTTCCTCCCTTTCTTCCCTGTCTTCCTCCCTTTCTTCCTCCCTTTCTTCCTCCCTTTCTTCCTCCCTTTCTTCCTCCCTCTTCCTCCCTTTCTTCTTCCCTTTCTTCCTCCCTTTCTTCCTCCCTTTCTTCCTCCCTTTCTTCCTACCTTTCTTCCTCCCTTGCTTCCTCCCTTGCTTCCTCCCTTGCTTCCTCCCTTTCTTCCTCCCTTTCTTCCTCCCTTTCTTCCTCCCATTCTTCCTCCCTTTCTTCCTCCCTTTCTTCCTCCCTTTCTTCCTCCCTTGCTTCCTCCCTTGCTTCCTCCCTTTCTTCCTCCCTTTCTTCCTCCCTTGCTTCCTCCCTTGCTTCCTCCCTTTCTTCCTTCCTTTCTTCCTCCCTTTCTTCCTCCCATTCTTCCTCCCTTTCTTCCTCCCTTTCTTCCTCCCTTTCTTCCTCCCTTGCTTCCTCCCTTGCTTCCTCCCTTTCTTCCTCCCTTTCTTCCCCCCTTGCTTCCTCCCTTTCTTCCTCCCTTTCTTCCTCCCTTCTTCCTCCCTTTCTTCCTCCTTTCTCCCTCCCTTTCCCTCCCCCTCACAGCTTTGAGGAGCAGGAGCCTCCCGGCAACCGCTCTTTCTTCTCGGAGATCATTGCATCCATCAGCGATGTCAAGTTCTCCAATGACGGCCGCTACATCTTTAGTCGTGACTACATGACCGTCAAGGTATGCTTGACTGTCCAGGCACGTGTGCGTTGTCAAGCCACGCTTATCAACGTGTGGGTGAAAGGTGGCTGTGAAGTTGGTGCATCCATCCATCAGCCATGTCAAGTTCTCCAGCGACGGCCGCTACATCTTCAGCCGCGACTACATGACCGTCAAGGTATGCCACGCATGGATGCACTATGGTTGGCTGGTGTGGCACTACAAGGCATCACAAAAAAAAAAAAGAACGAAGCATGGCTTGAAGTTGACTTCTGGGTTGACTCAAAAGGGTGAAGATGGCATGTCACAAAATAGTACATCTTATTATTTTCGTTCCAGATTTAGACTGTTGCTCCCTTTTTGTCTGAACGGGTTCTGAAGAGAAGTGAGCATGACCCCTCCCCTCCTTCCTGTGCTCTGAGCTGCCTCAGTTCGTTCCTCTTTCCACTCCCTCCCACCCTCACTCATCCCCACCCATCCAATGCTTCCCCTCTCTCGCGCCTCCACCTCCGTTCATCTTCCACTTCCCCCTGCCTTCCTAAACCTCTCCTCAATCCCCCCCCGACAGCTGTGGGACATCCACATGGAAGCGCAACCGCTGGGAACGTTCAAAGTGCATGAGTTCCTGCGACCCAAGGTGACCACCCCACTGCACCACACCACATTCTCTCTCTTCTTCAGCCCTCACACTCTCTCCTGCTCTCCTTTTTGAGCCACCTCATCAAGCGCAACTGCTGGGGACGCTCAAAGTGCATGAGTTCCTGCGACCCAAGGTGACCACCGCACCACATGCCATCATTGTGCTGTCCACCCTTCCTTCTCCATTTACCTTCCCGTCTCGTCCACTTCACAGACCCTACCCCTCCTTTACCCCCCCCCACGTCCTCCCTTCCCCGCATACCTTCATCATGGTTTCTGTAGGGTTACCCTATTGCCGCTGTGCAACTTGTACGAGAACAACTGCGAATTCGACAAGTTCAAATGCATATTCTGGCTTCCCCCCCTCACCAATTCCCACACCCCCCGCACGCCCCACTTTTTCCCCACCCACACCACTCCCTTACCCCCTCTGTCACACCACCAGCTGTGCGACCTGTACGAGAACGACTGCATATTCGACAAGTTTGAGTGCACGCCCAGTGGGGACGGGCTGCGATGCGCCTCTGGCTCCTACAGGTGAGTCTCTGGCTCCTACAGGTGAGTCTCAGGCACCTACAGGTGAGTCTGCTGGAATGTATTTGTTGATCTATCTGCCTGACGCATCAAACATCTTGTGAAGCTAACATGTGATGCGACAAGCGCCCAGTGAAGCTTCTGTACTTGACACTCTCATGTCAAACACTTGGCGTTTTACCCGCTCTGGCGCCCTTACAGTGTGCTCCTCTCTTGCTCTCTCCCCCACCACCGTTCTTCTCTGCAGCAATCTGTTCCGGGTGTTTGGAGTGGTGCCAGGGAGTGACGAGGCCTCACTGCTTGAGTCCTCCAAAACACCAAACAGGTGTGCTCCCTCCCTTCGTCCCTCCCTCCCCTTCTATCCACCATTTGTGACCCTTCACTTTCTCCTTCCTTTATACTGCACGGAACCTTCCCCTACTCGCGTTCCCCCTCCCCATGCTATCCGACCTCTCTACTCTTACCAATATTTTCCAGTTGGATGCAAGCTTTACATCTCAGCCGTCTGCTTTCAGCCATCTTTGCTGTTAATCACCTCCCTCCCCTCACCCGTTCTCATGTATGGCATGGCTGATCAATGGGTGGTCACATCCTGCTTGCATGGGTGACCACCTCGTGCTTGCATGGGCTCCTGGGCAATATGTGTTTCACACTGGTTGGCATTGTTTGGCATGGTATGGCTTTTCTTATTTTGTGGCATGGCATGTTGTGGTGTTGGATGATTTCAAAATGGTGGAATGTCATGCTTTGTGTGGGTTGTGTGTGTGTGTGTGTGTGTGTGTGTGTGTGTGTGTTTTTTTTTTTTTTTTTTTTATGGGCCATGGGATGTTGATGGATTGAAACTGCATGGCATGGCATGGTATGGTTTGCCATGAGCAGGCGCATGGTGCAGACACCAGCCAAGGGAGGGGGCAGGGCAGGGGCACGAGGCCGGAGGGATGCAAGAAGAGGTGCGTGGAGGATGAAACACGCAGGCGGATGAACCACTCAAGCACCAACCTTATCCTATCCGTCCGGATTAATCAACTCATGCACATGCTTCTTGCCATTCCCCAATGCCTCATGCCCTTCACTTGTCTCATTCCACCACCAAATTCCACACACCCCCTTCATCACCATTGCTCACCTTGTCTGCTCAAACCCTTCTGTTGGCCGGCCACGGTCACTTCAAATTCCTATTTTTTCCCGCTTGGTTTTGGCAGAAGCGGTGGATTCTATGGATCCCAACGGCATGCAGCATGACTTTTCTTCAAAGCTGTTGCACCTTGCGTGGCATCCCAAGGCCAACCTCATTGCCTGTGCCGCCTCCAACTCCCTCTACATGTATTATGCCTGACCAACATGGCTCTCCGATCTCCCTGTGCATCAGGATTTGTATTTTCTTACTGGTTTCTTCTGAAATTGAACATAGCTAGATTGGAAATTTACACAATGAAAAGCTGATAATGCGCCTAACCTTTGAACATTTTTGCCATGTGAAGTGTATGTTTCCAGATTAACTGGCTTGCATGATTTTCAAATTGCTACACGCGGAAGGTCTGAACTATATATGACTGGATCTAAAATTGCCGCATTTGGCGGTGAGCTTCCGTACCTCCATGCACGTCCAGCCCCTCCCTGCTTTTCCCTGCAATTCGGGAAACCGACACCATCTCATCGCGCAGCCATCCGAAATCCGCGATCCGGCGAATTTCACTCGACATGTATTTGTGTGCTGCTGGTCTCGATGGAATTTCGCCCCTATCATCCATAGCCGCCTCTCCTCCGCCCAGTCATGCTTCAAAAAGCAAAGCTGCTGTCCGCTGCCGAGGCATTACCCAAAAGACAGACAAGGTGCATGACAGCTAGTGTGCTCTCCAGTTGCTTCTTCGCCTCCGACTGGACCGTCGGCTCGGCGCCCATACTGTACCTGCCACCTCTATGCATGATGCAGGCAACCGAATAAATAGAGCGTTTCGATCTACCAAATCTTCCTCACATACGGATGGCCCGCTGAGATTTCTCACGACATTTTCCTGCTAGTCCTACACTTCGCACTTACAGCGTTTTCGCACTTTCAAAGCACTCAGCCCAGCAGTCCAGCTCGATCTGGCGGTCAGGAACGACTTTCATTCCCGCTAGTGATTAGGATCTCTTTTCCCCCTATTACGCAACGAAGAATGCTCAAAAGATATCTTCTAGTCAGTAGTGCCTGCGTCGATGTTGCTTTGTCGTAGAGTGCCGCGCTTCGCCTCAGCAGCCACAACGGGAGTTCCACCTATTGCCAGAGTGCCGCATAGTAAGGTCTCGGAGAGAACCGCTAATGCCAGGGAGCTCCTGACGCTGATCCGGCGAGTGAGGCTATAAAGATTCAGGTTTCCTAGGTGCACCTTGTCACATGCGCTCGCTCGTCCGTCAAACCGTGCGCGCAGATGCCTGCGCCATGCGCAGTTGTTGTCGGCCCTCTCGGCGCGCATCGCCGTGTGACGCGCGGGCTCCGCAGCCAATCGGCGCTCTTACCAGCGATGCTGTTGCTGTCCTTCGTCGCCCTCTCCGCCGGATTCACTGATTTCGTTCGCCGACCCGGCCCCGCCCCGCCCCCCTTTTCGCCTCCTCCTCGTCCCCCTTCTCCTCCTCCCCGGCTCCCTCCCCCTCCCAGTCCTCCCCCGCCTCCTCCCCGCCCTCCGCCTTCACCGCCTCCTTCTCCGCCCCCGAATCCTCCCCCGCCGTCTCCCCCTCCCAGACCTCCCCCCAGCCCTCCGCCCAAACCACCGCCTCCTCCGCCATCTCCCCCTCGCCCCCCCCCTCCTCCGCGCCCTCCGCCTTCTCCGCCTCCTTCTCCGCCCCCGAATCCTCCCCCGCCGTCTCCCCCTCCCAGACCTCCCCCCAGCCCTCCGCCCAAACCACCGCCTCCTCCGCCATCTCCCCCTCGCCCCCCGCCTCCTCCGCGCCCTCCACCACAACCTTCGCCTTCCCCCCCTTCTTCCCCGCCTCCAAAACCACCCCCTTCCCCTCCCCCGTCGCCCAACCCCCCTTCTCCGACCCCCAAATCCCCCCCTCTGCGCATCCCGCAGCTTCCGCCGCCCTCTCTCCCCCCGTCTGATGGTCCCCCAACACCCACGTTGAAACCGGAGGGGGAAATTTACCGCGTGTGCGCCGTCGCAGGTAGGCGGGAGGGGGGACGTAAAGGGGGAAGGCGGAATATGGCAGATTTGGACTGGATTGTAGCAGTGGGAAAGGGCTGTAGCAGAGTGGAGTGGGAGTGTTGAGGGATGTAGCAGAGATGTTCGCAAGCTTAGTTATGAAACGGCTAAGTATGGTCAGAAGTCGGAGTGCGCAAGGGTGACTATTATTAGAATCCAATAAAGACGGCTCATGAGACGCATTAGTCAGGCGTTTTAAACACTCTGAATTGTTACAAGTCAATTCCCCACCCGCATTCTCACCCTCTCCCAACCACAGGTCCTGCTCAGTGGCAGTGCTTAGACTTGACTCAACTCCAATCATGTGCTAAATACTAACCTCTCAATCCCCCCGACAACAGGGCCTGCAGTCGTAACGGTCACAAGCACGCCTCTCGGGCAAACCTGGCGAGGCTGGGGCACGTCGCTAGGCTGGTTCGCGAACTACATTGGTCGCTTACCCGCCGCCGATCTCAACACCCTATTAGACCTGCTATTCCACCCCACGCGCCGCCTCGGTCTTAATATGGTTAGACACCTAATCGGCGCGGGATTCAATCCTTCGCGCTCGCCTCAAATGACGTCTTTAGGACCGCCGTTCGACGCGCGCCCGATGCCCGGGTATAAACCGAAGGCTGCAGGGCCGTACGATTGGGCGGCAGATTGGCGGCAGCGGCGCGTGCTGATTGGTGCGCTGGCACGCGGAGTTGATTCGGTAGAAGCAGTAGCTTATTCGCCGCCGTGGTGGATGACTCTTAGCGGGGATGTGTCAGGCGGTCACGCGAACACCAACAACATACGGCCGAAATACTACGAGGCATTCGCGGACTATTTAGCTACTATAGTGCAGAAATTCAGAGACGCGTGGAACGTCACGTTTGTAGCGATTAGTCCGACTAACGAGCCGCTGGAGGGATGGTGGGAGCAAGGGGGAATACAGGAGGGGTGTAACTTCGACGCCCAGGCGTTGCAGAAACTGATTCCGTTAGTCGTGCGAGCTCTCAAGAAGCGAAACCTGGTAACTCGAGTAGCTGGATTCGACAGTCTAGTTGACTCCACGGTTCGTTACAAGCGGTTCTGGAGTGCTGCCAAGCAGCAATCGCTACAGCCATTGAGGCATCTTAGCGTTCATGGGTATATATTTCCGAGAGGAAACTCGACAGGAATTTACAGCCCGAGACTTTATGTCGAACAAATGTTTGGACAAATGCGGGAGGTGGGTAGGAGTTTACAGAAGGAGGTTTGGGTTACCGAAGCTGGGCCTCTATTCATGAAGGGGGGAGCAGACATTGATATTGCCGTGCACATGGCACGAACCGTCATCCAATCGGTGAACATCATGGGCGCATCGGCTTGGATTTTCTGGCAAGCAGTGGGGAACACTCGCACATGGGCCTTTCTTATCATCCCTATGGCTCCGATTAAAAGCGCGGAGCTACCACCTTTCTCAGTGGATTATTCGAAGAAGTATTTTGTAATGAAGCAGCTTGTACAGGGGGCGCCTAAGGGGAGCAAGCCGTTACAGGTTACCACTGCGCAAGGGTGTCATCATTGCGTGGCTGCATTCTACTCTGCTGCCCGGCGCCAACTGGCAGTGTTTGTGGCCAATCAAGACGGGGATGACTACCACGTGTCATTGGCCATTGATTCTTTTGCAGCAGAGAATTCAGCTGCTCCTGTACAAGTCAGGATGTACAGGACAGCTTATAACGAGGATATGGAGCCCACATTTTCCCAGGCATATGATTCAATGCCAAAGACTGTTAAGGTGTTGGCTCGTTCCCTGAGCTTTACATCCGTTCTAGTGTCAAACATTGTGCCTGGATAAAGTGTATGGGACAGTATTCTGTTCATTCTTTCTGGTGAAATTTCTACCCCTGCATGCGTGACTCTCAGGAAAGGAGAGGACGGAGTGGAGAGAGCAGACATAGAGTGTTGCGGAGACGAGTGGAGAGGAGAGGAGAGGAGAGGAGAGGAGAGGAGAGGAGAGGAGAGGAGAGGGGAGGGGAGGAGAGGAGAGGAGAGGCGAGGAGAGGAGAGGCGAGGAGAGGAGAGGCGAGGAGAGGAGAGGAAGAGGATAGAAGAGATGTGAGGAGAGATAGAGTCATTCAGTCCCATCCACACACCCATGCCCAATCGTTTTGTTTAGTCAGTGGAGAGTGCACAAGCACAGCACTTTCCCCACCAGCTTGTCCTCTGGTCTAATTGTTGTCTAGCCATTATTTTTTTCAAGGGATTGCACGTAATAATCGAGCCCTGTCATACCGGTAGGTACCTTCCAGCACTTCGAACATATTTTCATCAAACCATTCCAATCTAGTAGTGCAGAAGCAACAGAACAGCCCAACTGACCTACACTCGGTGCGTAACGGAGACACCACTGAACTCCCCTCCTGAAATTTCGCCCCTCAATTTCTTCGGTTTTTGGCACCTCAGTCTATTTCGCGCCAATCCAGCGCGCTTTAGGTCTAGTTTGATATGAGGTAATTATCTAGGTCCGTCGTCGCAATCGAGACGGCAGTTACTAATTGCGGCGACCAAATACTCGTGGCGACAGCCAATTGCGTCGATATCCATACCACACCACCCGTTGCGCATCGTACCAGAGGCTGGTCCAATCCGGATGGCGGATATTTCTCGTCAGCCTGACTCCGCAGCTCAGCCGTTGGATCCCGTCCTCGTGGAGGGAGCGCTCTTCTTCCGGCCAGAGGAGGGGGGGAAGGCGGAGATTGCGCAAGGCGCAAAGGCCGCTGCGGAACACCTGCAGCAACAACAGCAGGAGCAGCATGGCGCGCGGAATTATCCTTCAGATGCGCGTAACGTGGCGCACGGAGAGGGCGCATGGTCCTTTCGTTTCAATCACAGCAACGCGGGTAGAGCAAGCGAGGCGGCTGAAGCGGGAAGCACGGGAACGGGTATAGGCGTGCAATTGAGGTCAATCAACGTGAGAACGACCAGGAACAGAAACACCCCCCGTACTAGCTGGGAGCGGCAGGAGGGCTCAACCCTCGGCTCGTCGTCTTCCCCTAACAGCGCGTCCCCGTTTGGAGCTGCTTCGGTTACAGCAACGGAGGCTGGAGACTCGCTGGCGGTGTACCGACGAGCGGTGGCCAAGCTAGTGGCGTTTGGGTTCAACGGGAAGGAGATTAACGACCATGCGCGCCGCCTCATTGCCTTGGGTGAGCTTAACCCCTGCACAATGCACCAGGTTTTGTGGGAAGTTTATTAGAAAGTTAAAGCCTTATGTACCAGGTACTGGTGTGTGATTCTCTTTCCCAGCTGCCCTACTCTCGCTGCTTCAGCCTCACTCTTAGTTTATCACCCAACACACCCACAGCCACAGACTCTCACTCTCTTTCTCTCAAACTCATTCATCCCCCTCGCTCACCCACCCCTTTTTCCAGGTGCAGGCGGCCTCGTTCTCTTCTCCAACAACTTCTCCAACCCCCGCCAGCTCACACAGCCATGCGCTCTCACTCTCTCTCTCACACACTCACTCCCTCTCACCCTCTCCCGCTTCGAGGTGCGGGCGGCATTGTTCTCTTCTCTGCTCCGACCTCACTCACTCACTCTCCGCCTCTCGCTCTCACCCTCTCACCCTCTCACCCTCTAACCCTCTCCCGCTTCCAGGTGCAGGCGGCGTCGTCCTCTTCGCCCGCAACTTCTCTGACCCCCGCCAGCTGGCCTCTCTCTGCGCCGACCTCAAGCGGGCGGCGTTCCCTCGGCGTCTTCTCATCATGGTGGATCAGGAGGGCGGCAGAGTCACCCGCCTCGGCCCGCCCTTCACCTGCATCCCTGCCGCCCGCACCATCGGCTGTTCCCAAAACCCTAATCTTGCCCGGGCGGCTGGGCGTGTCTTGGGGCGCGAGTTAAGATCGGTTCATATAGATATAGACTTAGCTCCAGTATTAGATGTTGATACTAACCCTAACAATCCAGTTATAGGGGCTCGGTCGTTTAGTCGGGACCCGGGTGTTGTTTCCCAAATGGCATACGAGCTTATAAGGGGTATGCAGGGGGAGGGGGTCGCAGCGTGTGTGAAGCATTACCCAGGGCACGGGGATACGTCAGTAGATAGCCACCTGGCGCTTCCTTATTCGTCACACGATCTGAGCCGGCTTGAATCCGTGGAGCTGGTGCCATTTGCACGGGCGGCAGTGGATGCTGACGTGGCAGCGGTGATGGTCGCCCACGTGGCAGTGCCTGCTCTTGCCACGTGGCAGCCTCCTCCTTCCATGGAGTACCTCCCAGAGAGTGTGAAACGTGCCATCAGTCCACGGTGGGAGCTGTTTTCTCCGTACAGGAGGCGGAAGCAGTGGGACGAGGCGAGGAGAGAAGCAGAAGCAACCTTGGGATTGCCGCGATCGCTCTCTGAATCTGACCTGAGGGCGTCTAGCAGTGCTGATGGTAAGAGTAGCCATAGCAGCAGAAGCAGTAGTAACAGTAGGGTTACCACAGGTGCTGACACAGTGAAATCCCGCACGGCACCATCAACCACACAACAGCAGCCACACCAGCAGCAGCCTACCCCTCCCACCAACCACCCCACCCCTTCCCCCAACCCTTCCCCTCTGACCGCCTTTGGCTCTTCCCTCCCCGCCACTCTCTCCCCCGGCGCGCTCTCTTACCTTCGTATGGAGATTGGTTTCGAAGGTGCCGTCTTATCAGACTGCCTGGAGATGGGGGCGATAGTGAAGCATGTGGGCGTGGGAGAGGCGGCAGTGCTGGCTGTAGCAGCAGGAGTGGATATGGTGTTGGTCTGTCACACGGAGAGCAGACAGACAGAAGCTGTTGATGCGCTTGCAAACGCGCTACAGTCCGGGCGGCTCTCGGTGAAAAGATTCCGGGCAGCTTCTCGGGCAGTTGACGCTCTGGCGCGAGTGTTTTGGGGGCCACCCCCGCCGGAGGGGAGTGAGGTGGAGGAGAGGTATTGGGAGGAGGAGCAGCGGGTGGTGGGGTGCAGGGAGCATAGGGAGGTAGTGGCTGAGATAGAGCATGAGGCTTTGGAAAGGGGAGAGGGGGATGATTGGAAGGAGAGGGAGAGGAAGGAGGGTGGTCGGCGATGTACTATATCGTAACGGTTGTAGCGTTACGAAGGTATAGCTACTGTGATATTTTTGTTTATTATAATGTGCTCATGTGCAGTTGGTGGTATTCGCGATGTGGTGATGGTGATGGCACCACCAGTCGTGGTGGTGTTGGCGATTCTGCAGTCAACATTGGTGAAATGCTTGCGCATGCTGAAATGTGAACACACTAGTGGGAAAATCATTCACAGAATCATGGTCTCGTGGGGATTCCTATCTGTCGCTGGGTGAAGAAGTGAGGAGCAGCGTCTAGTAGCCACTCTCTTTCAACTGCAGTCACGTCTCGCATGTACAGAAACGAGTCAGCTTGTGACGCAGTGCGATACACCACCCACTGCGGCGCCACTCTGTAAGAAGGGTTGATAATTCAGTACACAGGGGGAGTGCGAAGGAAGGAGGGGGGAGGGGGAGAGGGGAGACCATGGCAGGGGAAGGAGGGTTGATACATTGATGCTGTAGGTATATGGCTGTAACAGTATGGGCATGGCTAGGTGGAAGGAAGGAGGACAGATATGAAGTTGTTGGAGTGAGGGGTGGGGAGGTATACCTGAATAGGTTAAGGGGTGAGTATAAGGGGGTGTGTCTGTCATACTACCTGAAGAGGACGGAGGAAGGGTGGATCTTGAGATGCAGATTGCCCCTCACGGACTTGTATGTTGACCCGTCACCATCGGCCTGGAAGGGGAAGGGGGGAAGGGAGGCGGAATGGAAAGTGGAAGGAGAACGAGCAGCAAGTAACAGAGTAGCAAATCCAAGGCAGCACAAACTATACGCTCATCTTACCATAAGCTGAGCAGCATTCACGAAGAGAGATGCTGCCGCTGCCCGCTGGAGTAGCTGGTGGAGTGGAGGAGGGGGGGGTTGGCGGAGGGGAGAGCGGAAGAGAGAAAACAGGGGAGTTTTGAGGCGCCACATAGAGAGCCTTGATTTGAGTCGACTCAAAACAAGGGAGAGGAGGAGAGAAGGGAAGGCAATGAGAGCGCTGGGAGGGGAGACGCGAAAGAGAAAAGCGGATGGGGGGCAGGGGAGAGTGGCACTGCAGATAGGACATACTTGCAACAGTGAGATTGTAAAGCACCCACCCGTAATCTCATGATGAACCCTTCGCACACCCACCCCACCCACCATGACGTCTCCCCGGCATGACAGCAGCTTCAGCCCCAGACGCCTGAGCCCCCTCCTCAGCTGCCCCCTCACGTCATCCACTCGCAGCTGAGATGCAGGGGTGGAGAGGGGTGAGAAGGGGTGCTGAGGGGTGAGGGAGGGGTAAGGGAGGGGTAAGGAGGCGATTATAGAGTTGATTTGATTACTGTCTGAGTCCCTTCCGCAGCTGCCCTCTCACATCGTCCACTCGCAGAGGAGACACGGGGGGGAGGTGGTGGGAGGAAAGGTGGTGGATGGGTGGGGAGGGGCGAGGCGAGGGCCAGAGAGGGATAGGCAAATAGAAGGTGGCTGCATTTGGAACTTTGAAGCACGCCATATCCACACGGCAGGGCACATGGCACAGAGCACGGCAAGTAGAGCGCAGCAGCCGCAGTTGGGACTATATTATACCAAGGCCTGGAAGTTAATTTACATCAGAGCATTCTCAGAGGTGAATGGTGTACTGGCAGCAGCACGATTCCGTACCATGGCCTGGTAGTTGATGCCATTGGCGTGGCACCACTTGGCCGACCGGCCACTGCGAGTGAAGCCCAGCATGGGCATGTGACACCATCGCATTCAGCGTACCATGACATGCCAACAGAAACAGCATACCATGGCATGCATGCGCTCACAGCCAGCGTACCATGGCCTGATAGTTGATGCCGTTGGCGTGGCACCACTTGGCCGACCGGCCACTGCGAGTGAAACCCACCATGGGCATGTGACACCACACCATCGCATCCAGCGTACCAACAGAAACAGCGCACCTTGTGACACAAACACACCATGGCCTGGTAGTTGATGCCATTGGCGTGGCACCACTTGGGCGACCGCCCACTGCGAGTGAAGCCCTCCATGGGCATGTGACACCATCGCATTCAGCGTACCATGGCATGCCAACAGAAACAGTACACCATGGCATGCATGCGCTCACAGTCAGCGTACCATGGCCTGATAGTTAATGCCATTGGCGTGGCACCACTTGGGTGACCGCCCACTGCGAGTGAAGCCCTCATACACGTTCAGGTAAGAGACAAAGTCGCCCTGATTAGAGAGAAGGGAGGGAATGAACTCGGAGCATGCAGGGAATGCAGAGGAACGGGGAAGGCGGGGTTGTGGGGAGTTTACTTGGACGACCTGCCACTGCAAGTGAAGCCCTCGTGCACGTTCAGGTAAGAGACAAAGTCGCCTGGTGGGAGGGTGAGAGTGTGAGAGGAAGAGTAAGAAACGCAGAGAATGTAGAGGAAGGAGTGAGGGGTTAAGGTGAAATCAGTTGAGCTACTTGTAATGATGGATAGAGCCATTGTGCACGTTCAGAATAGAACACGAAGTAGCCCTAGTGGGGGAGATGCTGGATTGAAGGTTGGAGGAGGTGGAGTGCGGTGGAGAGTGGTGAGGCGCGGTATTGGGACGATACGATACACAGCCATTTCCCCTATACTCTGCGAATCCACTCACCTCTGCAGCAGCGAATCGCTCTTTGAGACGGTCCGACTCCCTCTGCCGGCCACTGCTGCCCACCCACACTGACTGCTGTGGCTGGGATGAGAGCGTTTCCAATGAAAGCATGCCCTGTGCAATGCCATACTCTCAACCCTACACCCATCAAATCACTCACCTCTGCAGCAGCAAATCGTTCTTTGAGTCTGTCTGACTCCCTCTGCCTGCCGCTGCTGCCCACCCACACGGACTGGGGGAAGGGGGGATGCAGGATTGTGGGAAGAGGGAGCAAGTGGGGCAGATAGGTGAGGAATGCTCTGAGGCGACTCAAAAGGCGACTTCTATACAGGCTGGTGGAGGGAGAAATGAAGCAGGGGAGAGGTAGGAGTATGACAGGAGGAGGACGTGGGAGAAATACATGATTCAATAGGAGGATGGAGGTCAACAGGATTCAGCTCAAACCCGCATGCCTTCCATACCCTCACACACTCATGCCACATCTACCAACCGCTCCAACCTCCCGTCTGCAAGGCAACACTCTCCTCCTCTCACCTGCACACAAAGCGACGCAGCAACTGTACACATCTCCTCAGAGCAACCATCAGCCTCCTCCCCATCTCCGTCTTCCTCCGCATCCTCGTCCTCATCTTTCCCACCCAAGCCACCTCCCCCGCCTCCACTCTTCATCGCAGTGCCAGCAGTAGCACCATCAGCGGAGGTGCCAGGTGCGTTGGCGGACACAAGCAGCATGAAGGCAACCAGAGGGTCCTGGAAAAGAAGAGGAAGCGAGGAGGAACATTGTTTAGTCGTCCGAAAAAATGTGCCAGCAGTAGCGTCAGCAGCAGCGCCAGCAGCAGTGGTGCCAGGCGCGCTGGCTGACATAAGCAGCTTGAAGGCAACCAGAGGGTCCTGGGAGAAAGGGACGAGCAGGATAGAGAAGAGGCACGATAACTGTCACTTGAACCTGCTGAATGGGGGAAGCTGGGTGAGGGATGGACATAAAAACCTGGACTGAGCAAGTCATTGGCCATGACTGGTTACCAGCACATGGTTATGCGGTTACCAGTATGTGGTTACCAGCACATGGTTACCAGCACGTGGCTATGTTCATGTGGTTACCGAATGCATCTTACCAGAGGAAACTCTGCCAGCTGGACTCCAACAGGCTTGGTCAGTCTGCCGTCCATATCCAGCGCCCGGATGGCAAAGAGCGTCTCTAGTGCGCGGATCATGGCGGACGGCGCGGGCGGCGAGAGCCAATCAAATCGCATGATGTTGTCGATGCCGAGGGACTTGAGCTGCAGCACTGTTGCTGTGAGATCTGATCGCTGGATCTCCGGGATCGTGTGGGCGGCAAGGTCTGTCATGTAGCTGTGCTCTGTGTATAGTCTGTTGGAGAGAAGAGGGGCGAAGAGGAGGGGAACGCAGAGAGAAGAGGTGAGGAGAAAGGGGAGAGGAAGCAGAGAGAGATTTACACGAATCCAACATCCACGTTGTGCAGTGCTGTACAAGATATCCCACAATACAGGCTTGTGGAATGCAGTCCAAGATATTTGTAGAATGCACTGCACAAATCAAGGTGGTTTTTTGAGAACTCTCAAAAACCAGCTCGTGGAATGCACTGCGCATAAAGTATTGACCCGGGCACGGACACGGACACGGGCACGGGCACGGTCACCAAAAACCAGCTCGTGGAATGCACCGCAGGTATCCCCCATAAAGTACTGCGCTCCATTCTGGGTGAGGGTGCAAGTCACTTCACCTGTAGCATTTCCCGGGCCTCACTCGCCCCGCCCTGCCTGCCCTCTGCTGCGCTGATGCTCGTGACACGGGCACCAGCAGCAACGCATCCACGTTTGACACCTGGGGGGATGGGGGATGGGGAACGGGGGATGGGGGCACAGGGCAGCACAGGGGGGAGGGGGAAAGAACGGGCCGTTGCCCTGCCTGCCCTCGTATGCGCTGATGCTCAAGATACGGGAAGGGCACTAGCAGCAGCGCATCCACGTTGAAGACCTGGAGGGATGGGGAACGGGGAATGGGGGATGGGGGCAGGAGGTGAAGAACAGCGCAGGAGAGACGATGCTGGTTTCTGAGGAGCCTGAACTGCGATACATGGGGAAGCTCAGAAACACTTGCGGTGGATGCCTGGGGGAATGGGGGATCCGGGGCAGCATGGACAGCAAAGTACAGGGGGACCCTGTCGAGGATGACCAATGTTATGCATTTGACAGGGCTAAGCTAAATCAGAAACCACAGAGTCGTGCAGCGTATGAGGATGGGGAAAACATTGGACGGAAGCAGCACTTACAGGGTCGAAAAACCGCTGCTTAACAAAGCCACAGTCGACCACGTACACTATTCCCTGATGGGGGAGAGAAGCAGAGGGAGAGGGGGGGGAGAGGAGCGGGGGGGGGGGGGAGAAGACGCGGTTACTCCATTAGCCACACAGTCAACCACATAAGCGCCATGTTAGTCGCCAGCAGCACCTTCCTCCGCCCCCGCAGAGTGCGCGCACACGACATCTGAGATGACTCAAACATGCCTCCAGCCCACTCAATGCCTCCAAGACCACGCACCTCGATGGTGTGGGAGGTCTCGGCAATGTTAGTTGCCACCAGCATCTTCCTCCGCCTCCGCAGGGTGGGCACCTCAACAGTCGTCTCTCAACCCGCAATCAGTTTGGTGCCTCAAGCACTAAGCCCACGCACCTCAATGGTGAGAGACGTCTCTGCAATGTTTGTTGCCACTAGCACCTTCCTCCGACCTCGAAGGGTGGGTGCAAACGCTGCCTCCTGTCGTCGTGGTGGTGGTGGTGCGGAGGAATGGGGGGGAAGAGGACGGGGGAGAAACGGTTTAGAGTCGACTCGAAACTCGTCTCAGCAATGTTGGTTGCACCTTCCTCCGCCCCTTCATGTTGGGTGCAATCGCTGCCTCCTGTGGTGTTGGTGATGGTGGCGAGAACCTGCAGCTCAAGACACAGGAGAATCTGCAGCTCCAGGCGCAGGAGAATCTGCAGCTCCAGGCGCAGGAGAATCTGCAGCTCCAGGCGCAGGAGAATCTGCAGCTCCAGGCGCAGGAGAATCTGCAGCTCCAGGCGCAGGAGAATCTGCAGCTCCAGGCGCAGGAGAATCTGCAGCTCCAGGCGCAGGAGAATCTGCAGCTCCAGGCGCAGGAGAATCTGCAGCTCCAGGCGCAGGAGAATCTGCAGCTCCAGGCGCAGGAGAATCTGCAGCTCCAGGCGCAGGAGAATCTGCAGCTCCAGGCGCAGGAGAATCTGCAGCTCCAGGCGCAGGAGAATCTGCAGCTCCAGGCGCAGGAGAATCTGCAGCTCCAGGCGCAGGAGAATCTGCAGCTCCAGGCGCAGGAGAATCTGCAGCTCCAGGCGCAGGAGAATCTGCAGCTCCAGGCGCAGGAGAATCTGCAGCTCCAGGCGCAGGAGAATCTGCAGCTCCAGGCGCAGGAGAATCTGCAGCTCCAGGCGCAGGAGAATCTGCAGCTCCAGGCGCAGGAGAATCTGCAGCTCCAGGCGCAGGAGAATCTGCAGCTCCAGGCGCAGGAGAATCTGCAGCTCCAGGCGCAGGAGAATCTGCAGCTCCAGGCGCAGGAGAATCTGCAGCTCCAGGCGCAGGAGAATCTGCAGCTCCAGGCGCAGGAGAATCTGCAGCTCCAGGCGCAGGAGAATCTGCAGCTCCAGGCGCAGGAGAATCTGCAGCTCCAGGAGCAGGAGAATCTGCAGCTCCAGGCGCAGGAGAATCTGCAGCTCCAGGCGCAGGAGAATCTGCAGCTCCAGGCGCAGGAGAATCTGCAGCTCCAGGCGCAGGAGAATCTGCAGCTCCAGGCGCAGGAGAATCTGCAGCTCCAGGCGCAGGAGAATCTGCAGCTCCAGGCGCAGGAGAATCTGCAGCTCCAGGCGCAGGAGAATCTGCAGCTCCAGGCGCAGGAGAATCTGCAGCTCCAGGCGCAGGAGAATCTGCAGCTCCAGGCGCAGGAGAATCTGCAGCTCCAGGCGCAGGAGAATCTGCAGCTCCAGGCGCAGGAGAATCTGCAGCTCCAGGCGCAGGAGAATCTGCAGCTCCAGGCGCAGGAGAATCTGCAGCTCCAGGCGCAGGAGAATCTGCAGCTCCAGGCGCAGGAGAATCTGCAGCTCCAGGCGCAGGAGAATCTGCAGCTCCAGGCGCAGGAGAATCTGCAGCTCCAGGAGCAGGAGAATCTGCAGCTCCAGGCGCAGGAGAATCTGCAGCTCCAGGCGCAGGAGAATCTGCAGCTCCAGGCGCAGGAGAATCTGCAGCTCCAGGCGCAGGAGAATCTGCAGCTCCAGGCGCAGGAGAATCTGCAGCTCCAGGCGCAGGAGAATCTGCAGCTCCAGGCGCAGGAGAATCTGCAGCTCCAGGCGCAGGAGAATCTGCAGCTCCAGGCGCAGGAGAATCTGCAGCTCCAGGCGCAGGAGAATCTGCAGCTCCAGGCGCAGGAGAATCTGCAGCTCCAGGCGCAGGAGAATCTGCAGCTCCAGAGCGGGTGGTGGGAGGGGGTAAGAGGCAAGCGCATGTGTGTGTGTGGGGGGGGCAGGGGGGAGGGGACATGCATGTGAATCCAGGGCACTTTTATCATTAACCTATTCCCATGTGTGACTCATGAACAAGGGCCTGTGGAGAAAGGGAGGGACGAGGACTTACAACGTCACCAGCTGGCAACCCCGCATAGAGGGGAAACGCCTGGAGACCCGACCTCCCTAGAGAGGAGGAAGACTCACAATGTCACCAGCTTTGGCACAAGTAAGGAAGGGAGGACTTACAACGTCCCCAGCTGGCAACCCTGCATAGAGGGGAAACGCCTGGAGACCTGAAGAATGATCGATCGAGGGAGGTGCAGACAAGCAGAGAGAATAGATGAGATGAGAGAGAACGAGGGATGAGAGAGGAGATAGGAGAGGAGGAGCGATGAGTGAGAGAGTGAATAGATGAGAATGGGAAGGACAGAACATGGCAAACGAGGGAGCTGCAACTGAACATGTTTAATTTGCTGCCCTGTTCTAAGAGCAGCGGCAAAATGAATGTTCTCTAACGAAATATCCAAAGCACAGTGCCACCTCCTGACGAGGCGTCAAACACTTAAAAAGGCGCCTCAAAAGCACATCACATGTACAGAAACAATACCTCTTAGTTTCTCGGAGGAGGGAGTGTAGCTGTTGCTCTGCTCCGCTATAAGCTGAACCAACGTATCCACCTCCTCTTGCCCCGTTAAGAACACAAGTATGTCTCCTGGGGACTCCTAAAGGGAGAGGGCAGGAAAAGAAAGGAAAATTACATCGCGCATGAAGTCAGGTTTGAGATCAGGTTAGAGATCAGGTTTGATATCAGGTTTGATATCAGGTTTGAGATCAGGTTTGAGATCAGGTTTGAGGTCAGGTTTGAGGTCAGGTTTGAGATCAGGTTTGAGATCAGGTTTGAGATGCAGGTTTGAGGTGCAGATTTGAGGTGCAGGTTTGAGGTGCAGGTTTGAGGTGCAGGTTTGAGGTGCAGGTTTGAGGTGCAGGTTTGACGTGCAGGTTTGAGGGGGAACCTGATGGGGGGAACCTGATGGGGAACCTGATGGGGAACCTGATGGGGAACCTGATGGGGTGGGGAACCTGATGGGGAACCTGATGGAGAACCTGATGGGGAACCTGATGGGGAACCTGATGGGGAACCTGATTGGGAACCTGATGGGGAACCTGATGGGGAACCTGATGGGGAACCTGATGGGGAACCTGATGGGGAACCTGATGGGGTGGGGAAACTGATGGGGAACCTGATGGGGAACCTGATGGGGAACCTGATGGGGAACCTGATGGGGAACCTGATGGGGAATCTGATGGGGAACCTGATGGGGAACCTGATGGGGAACCTGATGGGGAACCTGATGGGGAACCTGATGGGGAACCTGATGGGGAACCTGATGGGGAACCTGATGGGGAACCTGATGGGGAACCTGATGGGGAACCTGATGGGGAACCTGATGGGGAACCTGATGGGGAACCTGATGGGGAACCTGATGGGGAACCTGATGGGGAACCTGATGGGGAACCTGATGAGGAACCTGATGGGGAACCTGATGGGGAACCTGATGGGGAACCTGATGGGGAACCTGATGGGGAACCTGATGGGGAACCTGATGGGAAACCTGATGGGGAACCTGATGGGGAGCCTGATGGGGAGCCTGATGGGGAACCTGATGGGGAACCTGATGGGCAACCTGATGGGCAACCTGATGGGCAACCTGATGGGGAACCTGATGGGGAACCTGATGGGGAACCTGATGGGGAACCTGATGGGGAACCTGATTGGGAACCTGATGGGGAACCTGATGGGGAACCTGATGGGGAACCTGATGGGGAACCTGATGGGGAACCTGATGGGGTGGGGAAACTGATGGGGAACCTGATGGGGAACCTGATGGGGAACCTGATGGGGAACCTGATGGGGAACCTGATGGGGAACCTGATGGGGAACCTCATGGGGAACCTGATGGGGAATCTGATGGGGAACCTGATGGGGAACCTGATGGGGAACCTGATGGGGAACCTGATGGGGAACCTGATGGGGAACCTGATGGGGAACCTGATGGGGAACCTGATGGGGAACCTGATGGGGAATCTGATGGGGAACCTGATGGGGAACCTGATGGGGAACCTGATGGGGAACCTGATGGGGAACCTGATGGGAAACCTGATGGGGAACCTGATGGGGAACCTGATGGGGAACCTGATGGGGAATCTGATGGGGAACCTGATGGGGAACCTGATGGGGAACCTGATGGGGAACCTGATGGGGTGGGGAAACTGATGGGGAACCTGATGGGGAACCTGATGGGGAACCTGATGGGGAACCTGATGGGGAACCTGATGGGGAACCTGATGGGGAACCTGATGGGGAACCTGATGGGGAACCTGATGGGGAACCTGATGGGGAACCTGATGGGGAACCTGATGGGAACCTGATAGGAAACCTGATGGGGAACCTGATGGGGAACCTGATGGGGTGGGGAACCTGATGGGGAACCTGATGGGGTGGGGAACCTGACGGGGAACCTGACGGGGAACCTGACGGGGAATCTCATGGGGAACCTGATGAGGAACCTGATGGGGAACCTGATGGGGAACCTGATGGGAACCTGATGGGGAACCTGATGGGGAACCTGATGGGGAACCTGATGGGAAACCTGATGGGGAACCTGATGGGGTGGGGAAACTGATGGGGAACCTGATGGGGTGGGGAACCTGATGGGGAACCTGATGGGGAACCTGATGGGGAACCTGATGGGGAACCTGATGGGGAACCTGATGGGGAACCTGATGGGGAACCTGATGGGGAACCTGATGGGAAACCTGATGGGGAGCCTGATGGGGAGCCTGATGGGGAGCCTGATGGGGAACCTGATGGGCAACCTGATGGGCAACCTGATGGGCAACCTGATGGGGAACCTGATGGGGAACCTGATGGGGAACCTGATGGGGAACCTGATGGGGACCTGATGGGGAACCTGATGGGGAACCTGATGGGGAACCTGATGGGGTGGGGAACCTGACGGGGTGGGGAACCTGACGGGGAACCTGACGGGGAACCTGACGGGGAACCTGACGGGGAACCTGACGGGGAACCTGACGGGGAACCTGACGGGGAACCTGACGGGGAACCTGACGGGGAACCTGACGGGGAACCTGACGGGGAACCTGACGGGGAACCTGACGGGGAACCTGACGGGGAACCTGAAGGGGAACCTGACGGGGAACCTGACGGGGAACCTGACGGGGAACCTGACGGGGAACCTGACGGGGAACCTGACGGGGAACCTGACGGGGAACATGACGGGGAACCTGATGGGAAACCTGATGGGGAACCTGATGGGGAACCTGATGGGGTGGGGAAACTGATGGGGAACCTGATGGGGTGGGAAACCTGATGGGGAACCTGATGGGGAACCTGATGGGGAAAATGATGGGGTGGGGAACCTGATGGGGAACCTCATGGGGAACCTGATGGGGAACCTGATGGGGAACCTGACGGGGAACCTGACGGGGAACCTGACGGGGAACCTGATGGGGAACCTGATGGGGAACCTGATGGGGAACCTGATGGGGAACCTGATGGGGAACCTGACGGGGAACCTCATGGGGAACCTCATGGGGAACCTCATGGGAACCTGATGGGGAACCTCATGGGGAACCTGATGGGGAACCTGACGGGGAACCTGACGGGGACCCTGATGGGGACCCTGATGGGGAACCTGATGGGGAACCTGATGGGGAACCTGATGGGGAACCTGATGGGAAACCTGATGGGAAACCTGATGGGGAACCTGATGGGGAACCTGATGGGGAACCTGATGGGGAACCTGATGGGGAGAGGAACCTGATGGGGAACCTGATGGGGAACCTGATGGGGAACCTGATGGGGAACCTGATGGGGTGGGGAACCTGATGGGGAACCTGATGTTGAACCTGATGGGGAACCTGATGGGGAGAGGAACCTGATAGGGAACCTGATGGGAACCTGATGGGGAACCTGATGGGGAACCTGATGGGGAACCTGACGGGGAACCTGACGGGGAACCTGACGGGGAACCTGACGGGGAACCTGATGGGGAACCTGATGGGGAACCTGATGGGGAACCTGATGGGGAACCTGATGGGGAACCTGATGGGGAGAGGAACCTGATGGGAACCTGATGGGAACCTGATGGGGAACCTGATGGGGAACCTGATGGGGAACCTGATGGGGAACCTGATGGGGAACCTCATGGGGAACCTGATGGGGAACCTGATGGGGAACCTGATGGGGAACCTGATGGGGAACCTGATGGGGAACCTGATGGGGAACCTGATGGGGAACCTGATGGGAACCTGATGGGGAACCTGATGGGGAACCTGACGGGGAACCTGACGGGGAACCTGACGGGGAACCTGAAGGGGAACCTGACGGGGAACCTGACGGGGAACCTGACGGGGAACCTGACGGGGAACCTGACGGGGAACCTGACGGGGAACCTGACGGGGAACATGACGGGGAACCTGATGGGAAACCTGATGGGGAACCTGATGGGGAACCTGATGGGGTGGGGAAACTGATGGGGAACCTGATGGGGTGGGAAACCTGATGGGGAACCTGATGGGGAAAATGATGGGGTGGGGAACCTGATGGGGAACCTCATGGGGAACCTGATGGGGAACCTGATGGGGAACCTGACGGGGAACCTGACGGGGAACCTGACGGGGAACCTGATGGGGAACCTGATGGGGAACCTGATGGGGAACCTGATGGGGAACCTGATGGGGAACCTGACGGGGAACCTCATGGGGAACCTCATGGGGAACCTCATGGGAACCTGATGGGGAACCTCATGGGGAACCTGATGGGGAACCTGACGGGGAACCTGACGGGGACCCTGATGGGGACCCTGATGGGGAACCTGATGGGGAACCTGATGGGGAACCTGATGGGGAAACCTGATGGGAAACCTGATGGGAAACCTGATGGGGAACCTGATGGGGAACCTGATGGGGAACCTGATGGGGAGAGGAACCTGATGGGGAACCTGATGGGGAACCTGATGGGGAACCTGATGGGGAACCTGATGGGGTGGGGAACCTGATGGGGAACCTGATGTTGAACCTGATGGGGAACCTGATGGGGAGAGGAACCTGATAGGGAACCTGATGGGAACCTGATGGGGAACCTGATGGGGAACCTGATGGGGAACCTGACGGGGAACCTGACGGGGAACCTGACGGGGAACCTGACGGGGAACCTGATGGGGAACCTGATGGGGAACCTGATGGGGAACCTGATGGGGAACCTGATGGGGAACCTGATGGGGAGAGGAACCTGATGGGAACCTGATGGGAACCTGATGGGGAACCTGATGGGGAACCTGATGGGGAACCTGATGGGGAACCTGATGGGGAACCTCATGGGGAACCTGATGGGGAACCTGATGGGGAACCTG